CACTTGGCAGGCACCAAGAAAGGTGTCGGCAGGCAACATGCCACACACAGGCACCATGTTGGGGACCCCTGCCTTAGACAATTAATCAATTAAACTCCTCATAGGTTCGCTGCCTAACTCGACCTAAATTTTGACTGCTGGTTTAACCTTAAAAGATTTCTTCACATTGGAAATCTGTGTACGTGGGGCTAAGCAGAGAACTTTCCATCCTTTAGGGCTAAGAACAAAATAGGGTTGCCAGGTCTGGGTTGGAAAATACCTGGAGACTTTGGGGGTGAATCCAGAAGAGGTCGGGGTTTGGGGAGGGAAGGGACTTCAATGTGGTACAATGCTATAGAGTCCACCCTTCAAAGCAGCCATTTTCTCCAGGAGAGCTGATCTCTGTCAGCTGGAGACCAGTTGTAAAAGCAGGAGATCTCCAGGCCCCACCTGGAGGCTGGCAACCCTAGAACAAAATGAGGTGGGATTCAGCATCAAACCTGATAAGACAGAGGGGGAGGGGTTATGTTAAAACAGCTGGGAGGGCCCCTGATTCTGGCAAGGGACCTAATCCTTTTCCCCTGCACAGTTTATAGATGCAGCCACTCTCTGGAGCTGCAATTTGTTCTGCGACGGAAAGCATATAGCTAGCACGCAAGAAGTCTTCTGTTATTTTCCTGTGGGGCAAACAGCAACTCAGTCTGTATAAAGCTTCCTAAATACATCAAAGGAGTCAGGGCTCTTGATGGACAATCTCACATAGTCTGATCCACAGGGTAAACAGTCCCCTCCCAAATGTCGCCTTCATAAAATTCATCAGTATACCAGTACTCTTTATATGATATTACCATGCTTGAAACAGATTACCATAACGTGGTGGTAATGATCTGTGGCATAGACACTCTCCTCATAATGTGGTGATCCCCTTTTATTTTATTATTTTTTCTTATTGCTATTATTTTTTCTTATATTATATTTAGATCGGCACCCATAAACCATATAATTCTCAAGGTGGTTTATACATCAGAGTCTGTGTGTAGTTCTTCTAGATTCGAGTCCAGTAGCACCTTAAGACACCAACAAGATTTTGGGGATATGAGCTTTTGAGAGTCAAATCTCCCTTCATCAGATATCTGCCATCAGGTATCTGACAAAGAGAGCTTTGTCAGCTTTATATTGATTTAAAACATTTATTAGCCACCTTTCTACCTTGCAGAACTCAAGGCAGCTTACAATATAAATAAAATTTATAAAATAAAATAAAAGCACAAGAAAAACAGTTATTAAAAAACACTTCAAAAGAATGCTGATTTTTTTAAAAAAAACCCTAAATCTGCAAATCAACACGGCTACCCTCTGAAAGTATATGTAGCTCTCTCTCTCTCTCATGATTTCATCCTACATGTCTTCCAAGGAACTCAGAGTGGCATATCTGGCTCACCCCCTTTCTTCCCCTCACAACAGCCCTTTGAGGTGAATTAGTCTGAGAGTGAAAGGCTGACCTAAGGTTACCTAAGTGAGCTTTACAAAGAGGGGCCATTCCTCACTACTATGGCATCATGTTTTGAATAACTGGACGTTTACGCTGGGCTTTTAAACATGTTTTCTTTTTCTAAAAAAAAGAGGCTCAACATGAAACAAGACAGAGTATTGAGTCGGTGTTTGATTCTGAAAAGTACGCAAACGGAGAGTGATTTCAGCAAAGCGTACTTTATTCTATCTGGAACAAGACGACTTTGGCCGGCTCGCAGGCCAACTTATATCCCCCGAGAAACCGCCACCCAAAACACACCCCTACTTCCCTATAGGTTATTTACAGTGGCCGAGAGTCCCATAGGCTCTCGGCCAGGAACCTAGCCCCCTGATTGGAGCGGGCTAGGATCCGCATAGTCCATTGTCTCTTGGAGCGAAGCTCAACGTTTGTCTCTGGACTTGTCTGGACTGGATACATTACAGATTCATTAAATCACACAAATGTGTCCTTAGAATACAGTAGCAAGACCTCTATTGAGGTGTAGCAGCGGGACGTTTACGACACATTGTACAGTATAGCCAAAAAAGTTTTGATATTGCATACCTCTTTAAATTTCAAATGCACCATATTTTGAGTGGACCCTGTGGGGGATGGGAAGACAAAGCTGTGAGAAAGAACCAGCAATGGTCTGTCAACATTGATTTAAAAGACAAAAGAAGCCAAGCTCGAATTGTGTGAGGAAAATGAGCAGTAAGCCCAGATCAAAGTGCATCCCTATGTAGCCCTAAAGTGTGTGTAGAATCAATAATACATAACCTTGTAGAAATTCTTCTTGGACTTAGACGCAAAAAATGAAGGCAGGGGCCCATTGAAAAGGGAGTGTTCTGTACTACGGACAGAGAAAGTCCCACATAGCGGAGCAGCTTAACAAAGTTTATTCAACAAGTCTTCACAAGAAATCTTAATACTTCTCAGAGTCTTTGATTATCCATTTTAATGGCTTGTTTTTAATATTGACAATTTATATTATTGACAATTAATGTTGTTATGAGTTTCTGGTACTGTTCTTACTTGTGATATGTCTCAAGCAGGCCTCTGGAGAGGTGAAACATAAATTCTCAGAATGGATGAATGAATGGATTCCTTCTGTATCTCAAAAAGGCGCTTATAATGAAATCTGGATGGAATGCAAGTACGTTTAAACTGAACTAACTAAGTAGATAGAAAAGCAGACAAGAATTATTCAATTGGTTGACGTCCTCCCAGTTTATTGATTTAATATAAGGACTTTTTTCTTTCTTCCTTCTAAATACTGTGGTTTCAGAAGAGGAGCCAAATAACAAATAATATAGACTCCATCCTATCTTGGGCTGGCATCAGGAAATACAGACATATTTCTTCATACACGGCAGATATATAAATATTTTTTTAAAAAGTGACACAAACTCATAAAACCACAGTCATGACAAAATGAGTCAGCGTGGGGGTTATCGCTAGCTGTTCCTATATAAGTGTGTCCTCTTTCACTGCTGGGCACCAGAGGCCAAAGACTTCCTTCTTTTATGCAGACCCTTTAACAGGCAACATCATGAAGTACATCCTTCTGGGCACCGCTGTTTTTCTGCTTTTTGGCTTTTCCTTCCCGAGCCCCATCCTATCAGCACGAAACACTGAGGATACGAACTTTGTAGAGGTATGTATGATCCAAATCTTAATCAGCTGTACAACCAATTTATAATGCACTAAGGCTATTAAATTGTGAAAATGCATTTTCATGATGTTGTTTCTGCATGGCGAGGGGGGGATTTTAAGAAATTGTGGAGAATTGCCATAAGTGTCTTAACAAAATTTAATCAAAAAGACATCAAATGTGATGCAATCGTAGGTCTAACAAAGTTGATATGAGAGCAGCTATATTTCTATAGATATATCGATAGATATATAGTCACATGTGCCCCATTCATGTATGAATTTGAACATTAAAAGGGGGCATATGGTTGAGGGAAACTAAATATGTCCTCCTTCATGAGGTAATTCCTCAGAAGTTCTTTTCTGTGACTGAGTTAGGAAAAAAGTCTGAAGAAATAGAGCAGATGGAGACAGTTTAGTTCTCCTCATTCATGTATCCCTTTGGGGGTTAAAATAAGCTTCACCACCACCAGCTTTCCTCACAAATGGGACATATGATTAAAGGAACAATGGCTGTCACTGTCACGTTTAGTTCGGTCCCGAACGTACAGCCCCTCCCCCTCAATAAAATATCATAGTGTAAAATTGTGCATATGGTGCCTCAAACATCTTGCACCAAATTCATTCTTGCTCTTGTCATATATTGAATCATTAACGGTCTCTTTATCACTACTGAAACTATTTTTCACAACCCTTTCTTGATGTGTGAGTCCATTCAGCTTCCAACAATTTATAGGGTAAGTCTTTACCAGTATTCCCTCTAAGCTGAGTTAGTGTGGGCTAGCTCACAGTTTTTTAGCCTCTGGCTCACACATTTTTGTCTTAGCTCAGGAAGGATGGCTCCAGAGCAAACTATTTATTTATTTGTTTGTTTATTTCATTAGATTTTTACCCCACCCTCCCAGCAGCCCCCCAAAAAGCCAGTCACTGGGAGTTGGAGGATCCTCACGGGGGGGGAAGCCCATGGGGGGGGCTGCATTGAGGAGGGGGAATCATCCCCTCCCACTTGTCTCAGTGAAAGGCTAATTTTGCCTGATTTCCCCCCCTCTTCCAGCTCCCCATGCAACATGGCATATTTTTTTCACAAGGTACCCCGAGCACCTGCATCAGCTGTTTGGTTGGAGTCACAGGGGTCTGCTCAGAAAAGGGAGAAGTGGGCAAGATTTCTTTCTCCTAAATACCTTGCACGGGCCATTTGTAGGATTCCAACTCATACAACGCTTGTCTCAAATGTCTTTCAATAGACTTTTCCAAGCCAGCCACTGAATCCAAGCATAGATGTGGTGTCTAATCCCCAGGGCAGTACTGTGTGTTTGATCCAGCTGGGAGATAAAGGGTGATTCTGGATTGGCTGTTTCCTCTGTTGTTTTACGAAACCCGATTTGGAACAGAAATTCCCCTTTGCATTGCATGCTCCTTTCACTTTCTATGGAACCCTCTACACTGCATGCTACTTTTGCTTTCTTTGTCCATCAGGTTTTATGGTACCTTCTGCATAGATTTATGGCCATTCAGGGCTGACTTTGCAGTCAGTATGGTGTTGCCCAAGGTATTTGAATGTGGTTTTGAGCTGCAACTTTCCCTCCCAGTTGAGAAAATGTGGAGCGAATGCTAGACGCAGCATCGCCCATGTGAGCATGCATGGATTATCTTTCTGGATCAAGACCACCAACTACTGGACTACCATGGCTCACCGATCTAGACTTCGTTCACGGATTGCTTCCACTTTCACAGTTCTGTTGTACCACAGATTATCAACATACGTTGCTGATTTGCAACCCCATCACTACTCTTTCTACAAGCAGTGTGTTCATTAAGGTTCTAAGATAGCTGGCTTGGTGTTTTTCCCCCCCTTTATCCAGGTTTATCTTGACAAGTTCTTCCCATCCCTTCACAAAACAAAAGCTCTTTCAATAGCAGAACGAATCAAGGAAATGCAAAGATTCTTCCATTTGACTGTAACCGGAAAGATAGATGATGAAATGAAAAACTTAATGCAACTACCTCGGTGTGGAGTCCCAGATGTGCAAGAACAACGAGCAGGCTCACAGATATGGACCAAGAAAGGACTGACTTATAGGTTAGCTCTATCCCCCCCTCCCGCTTTTTAATATCAACAGTTCTATTTCCAGAATTCCAATATTTTTATTTTACTCTGTTTCTCAAAGGATAAATAATTTTACTCCGGACCTGCCTAAATCCAAAGTGGTTCAAATCATACAGAGGGCATTTAAAGTGTGGAGTGATGTGACCCCACTGACGTTCACTAGAGTTTCTGGAACCGCCGATATTGAAATTCTGTTTGCATCTCGTGGTAAGACTTTACAATGATCAGTTCGCAGAACAGAATCCCTGCATTCCAAATGGGAAGGGGCCATGGCTCAGGGGTAGAACATCTTTTTTGGCATGCAGAAGGTTCAATCCCTGGCATCTCCACTTAAAAAGATATGTCAGTAGATGATATGGAAGACCTCTGCCTGTGACCTTGGAGAGCCGCTGCCAGTCTGAGTACACAGGACTGACTTTGATGGAGCAGTGGTCTGATTCAGTAGAAGGCAGCTTTGTGTGTTCATGAAGCAATGGATTTTTTCGTGCATAGAAACCATTTCCTTTTTCTGAAGCATTACAACGTCAGGGGCCCAGAATCACTGCAGAATGATCTCTGAACTAAGCATGTAACACAAATTATAGTTTCTGAACTGCAGTTTATCATAACACTTCTATTGATCCATCTACGTATATTTATCCCACCATTCTTCTAAAGAGTGCAGGACCATTTTCATGATTCTCCTTCCATTTTCATAGCATTCTTATAACAGAGATCAGGGTGGCAGAGGGTGATTTGCCCAAGGTCACCATGTAAGCAGTATGGCCGGGTGAAGATTTGAATCCAGGTTTCCCAGAAACTAGCCCACTACTCTAACCACTATGTCACCCTGATCAGGCTTTCAATTTTCACATTCTTCCCTTTTACACACACACACCACTTCCCTTACCTTAACTCACTGCTGCCAAAAAACCCCAAACTAGGGTTGCCAGGTCCAGGTTGGGAAACGCTTGGAGACTGGGGTATGGAGCCTGGGGAGGACAGGGACCTCCGTGGGGTACACTGTTGTAGACTCCACCCTCCAAAGCAGCCATTTTCTCCAGGGGAACAGATCTCTGTTGTCTGGACATGAGCTGTAATTCCAGGGCATCTCCAGGTCCCACCTGGAGCCTAGCATCCCTACTCCAAACTCTTTTTTAATATAAAATTGCAAAAAGCATTATAAGTTATGCACTTCATATGGAAGCGACATTGCCACTTCCACCAGTACCACCATTGACCCCCCCAAAAAAAAAAACGCCCTTCAGACACAATACAATACAGAGAGTCAGATTGTCAAAGAGTATGCAGGACTATTTGAATATGCTGGACATTCCAGAATACTGATCATCTCTAGCCTAACATTTTTTCCCTTAACAATGACTGCATTCTCTTTCAACTTTAGCCCATGGTGACAATAGTCCTTTTGACGGAAGAGGGGGAACTTTGGCCCACGCTTATTTCCCTGGAAGTGGCCTAGGAGGAGATGCCCACTTTGATGAGAGTGAGAAGTGGTCAGAAACCGACCGAGGTAAAGTCATCTTTGAAGAGATATATAAGCACACCTTAGCAGGTCCCTAGACCAACTGTCCACCTGAGCCTGTGCACTCTCCTACTCTGGTCTCTACCGAGAGACATTTAAAGTAGAAGTGGCCAAGAATAACCTTGGCCAAGAATAACAATGCAGTCAAGGCATCTCAGGTCCTTTCCCTGGGCTCTCCATACAAAAATGTGTGTGTCTGTTTATACACAACATAAATATAGATGCTGATGTGAGTGTGTCTGTATAGCCATATCTTTCTATATATGTATGATTGGGGGGATTGTCAAAATATATGCATATGTATATAACAGATAACTATTAGCCCTTGGGACCAGTTCAATCCAAGTACTGGATTTCTTCACAATACAGAACAGCAAGAGATCATAATCCATTTATATTATTTTATATTTATTTATTAAAATATTTATGCCCCCCTTTTTCCAATAATGCAAGGTAGCTTACAAGTGCAAATTTCAAACATACAGAACTCAATGAAATCCCAAGTAACCACAGTACCTACTACCTATTAGGTATTTAACACACAACTTCTCCCTAACCTCTTTTTCTTCTGTGTTTTTAGAAGTCAACCTCTTCCTTGTTGCTGCACATGAATTTGGTCACTCCTTGGGGTTGGCACATTCAGGTGTCCGTGGTGCCTTGATGTACCCTAATTATTCTTATATGAACCCAGCCACTTTCAGACTTTCTGCTGATGATAGGCAAAGGATCCAGAGATTATATGGTAAATTCAGTACGAAGAATGTGTTCCTTGTGATAAATTCACTTTTTAATGCAGTTCTGTACTTTTTCCTAAATAAAGTCTTATAGAATCATAGAGTTGGAAGGGACCTCCAGAGTCGTCTAATCCAACCCCCTGCACAATGCAGGAAATTCACAAATACCTCCCCCTCCACACCCACAGTGACCGCTGTTCCACACCCTGAGGATGACAAAATACCTCCAGGATCCCTAGCCAAACTGACCTGGAGAAAATTCCTGACCCCAAAGTGGCAATCAGCATTTATCTGGGCCACAAGAACTAAGCTAGAGTCTGTACTCTTAATTTATCAAAGATGATCCATGCTCCATGATTCTGCTTGTAGATCTGTCCACAAACACATAGCTGCATACGAAATAGCATTGTTGTCTCTGACGGTGTTCAGTAGCTAGTAAAAGGAGAGATGAATGGGTTAATAGTGTTGGCCATCTATTTTTTGGACTTAACCTGACATGTAACCATTAATGCAATGGATGGAGTAATGGGTCCCGAACAAGGGGTCACCATAGTGGGAGCAAATCTGCAGCTGCCTGGACATTTCAGAACTTGGTTGTTGGAGTCCAATATTGATACTAAGAATGGACATTGTTATTATCCACATATTTCCAGAAAGCATTTGCCCGGCTGTTTCTCCTATTTCTTTGAAGAACTTTCCGTGTGCCTTATTTCCCCTAACCAATCTCTTTGTTTTTCTTTATCAGGAAGCAGACGATAAAACCCTTGGAGACCTCCATTATGCATCTCACGAAATGAAGTATATTGCATTTTGCACTGCTCATACCTCTTTTTGAAAGTTTTTGTGTAACGAAATACAGTGATGAGAATTCAACTTTAATTTTGAAATGGCCAGAAGGGAAGCAAAAACTCAGCAGTCAGATAAAACGTTCTGTCGTGACTGCCCAGGGCTTGCAATCATTGTTTCAAGGTATAACGGTGGGAATTCTTTCCCTGAACTTGTCTCAACCTAATGGTTGGCCCTTTTCAGATAGTCTTCTCATTCCATCCACATCGATATATGTGAAAGGGTACCTTTGCTGTGGGTGGTAACAGTAGTGGGCTGCCTTTTCATTGCTGAAGGCATATGAGAAGTGGTCAAACCCTGGTTCAGATGCTAAGGTCACGAGGCAAAAGAAGACAGGAGTGTGGCATCTCCTAGCTTCTTACAGTTCACTATATATTGGCGTTCACTCTCGTTGGACCTGAGGGTTTGGTTTCATCCATTTCAAGGCAATTAAAACCTTTCCCTCTGTTAATACAATCAAAGTCCTGTAAACCAGTCCAGCAAAGGAGATCTACACTCCACATCTGGGTACATGTTTTAGGCTGACTATTCTGCTAAGTCAACCTAGCAAACATTTCACTGGCCTCTGGTTGATTTCTGTTTTGATGGCCTTCATTTTGAAGTTTCATCTGCTGCTCTCTGTTGTTTTATGCTACTGTTTTCCTTTATGATATGTTTGTGGTTTCATGTCTATTGATTTTCTGTCAGCTGCCTTGTTTCCTAAGACAGGAAGAGAGGCACCATACAAAATTTTCAAATTAAAATACATACTACCTGCAATGTTTTAAGTGTGGTGCATTACTATTACTACCGCTACTGCTGCTACTTCACAAGTCAAAGGAATTATCATCTTGACATAGTAAACTTGGAACAAGGAGACTTGGGTTCAAATCCCTGCTCAGCCACTAATTCCCACTGAGTGATTTGGGGATGGTGAAGTAACAAAAGGCTTTATTTGTCCACTTTATCTGCCGGTGGCATTTCCCATAGTCGGGGCAACAAAAACACGTACTTTCAAATGGCCTGTTGCAGGGTAGTCTTATTCCACTCACCATGAAAGCCCAGATTTGTCTACCAACAGAATTTTATGAAGACTTAGTTTCCTCACATTTTCTACAGTGTTGTTAAATCTGATACCAATTGCGAGCCACAAAGGGTTAAGGTGCATCTATTGCGACGCACTGATCTTCTCTCATGCTCCTCATGTCACAAGAATATAGCAAACATCCGTTTCTTTTAGACTACCTTTTCAATCCACTACGGTATGCAATTCAACAGCTTTTGCCACTTGTCAGTTCTAAAGTCTTTGGGGATGACTGTGACCTTTTCTCAAAAAGACACCAACATATCTGCTCAATCCTACCTATTTGCACAACAGAAGGCCAGTTTATATAACTGTAATGTTGCCTAAGGCCAACAAGTCGACAGGCAGGTTATGATGGGGGGGGGAGGTGCTGGAGTCACGAACAAACATTGTCTTTAGAGCGCTCCAGGTAAGGCAAAAAGATCTGCATATCGCCAAGCTTCCTGGAAAAGCACCCCTTAAAGATCACTCTAAATAAAAAAATGGGCAGCATCCAAGGTGTTATGTTAAAATGTTAATTACAAAACAAGGGTACAGTTTAGCTTCATTGAAGGTCAAAGAAATCCTGTTTATATGTTAACATCTAGGTGACCCCCGAGGACTTGCGGGAGGGGAATCTCATCCCCACCAGCTGATTCTCCTCCCAAGGCTGCCTCTACGTTTCCTCCTTCCTTTCCACCTTGCATGTCCCACAGCTTCTCTCCCATTTCCTGGTTCAGTCCATCCCTCCCTCCCACCTACCTTTTTTAATCCCTTCCCCCATCTGCCACTCTCTGGCCTCCTTCCCCAGCTTGTCTCCTCCTCCTCC